AAAGCTGCAACGAACAAAACTGTAACTGTAGATATCTGTGACAATGATATCGAAGTATTCGTATTTTTTCTTCAAATAAATTATGTATCGTTCTTTTCGAATTTACGTCAAATAATTGGGAACTTAATTGTATTGAATTATGCGATGGTATTAACGAGATCATAAGGACTCGCGTTGAAACTGAAAGGGAATGGATTCTTTTGGGGGCTTATGAGTGACAGGAAAAGCAAGGGAAAGAATCTCATTTTCTTTTTTTTTTTTCTTTTTTTCTTTTTCTTTTTCCTATTCGAACGAAAATTATCTCAAATCTCACGTATACTTTCTACTCTTACGATTTGAGCAATCACATATACTACAGGAAATATCTTTTACTAACAAATAATACTGGAAATAAAACAAAATAAAAAATATAGATATCTACTTGCGAAACAATATAATTCTGTCTATGATATAACATCTTTGGACCAACAAGAGTTTGGTATCAAATCGATACATAAAAGTCTTGCTTCGTTCTAACGATAAGTCTGTTTATCATTTTCATGATACTCGATTTCAATGAGTTCCATTTTTTGATCGTTCTATTTGCCCGTTTAAACATACATTCTTTTGATCTATCCCTGAATACATCAGGGTATTATTTTTTACTTTAATAACAAGCAAAATTGCTAGCTATTAATTAGCTCGCAATATAATAATCCTTGATATTGTTCTTGCATTTCTTTTTTCATAACTAGTAAGTACGCATCCCTTTTCTATCTTTTTATTATTGTAAATCTACTATACGTTATGAAGGCGTGTAATTTGCATTAAACATAGAATGTGGATTTACATTTTTAAAAGAATATCATTTTTCTATATCGATAACCATGATAGATAAAGGAAAAAATATTAATACAATAAGGATATGATTAAAAAATAAAAGATAGATTTTTAGGCGTGATTTTTAACGCCTATCGTAATGTGTCCAACATTGTAAAGTTATTTGTAAACGATATTATATTAGACAGATAGAGAAGAGAGATAATTAGTTTTAAAAGGGGCTATACAAAATAAGAAAAAATCACTTACTACATATTTTACTAATTTTTTTCTTTTTTTTTGTTCACAAGCTTATGCACGCACGCACGCGTTCGTTAATTTTTTAATATATGTATGTATATACGTAAATACAAACACATATATGCGTATATATGTGTGCATTTATTTTTCATTTTTTTCCGTTCTTTATTTCATTTGCTTTTATTGTATAGATTTTTCATTCTTTTTTTCATTGTATTTTTTTTTTTTTTTTTTTTTTTTTTTTTTAAACTTTTATCCACATCTTTTAGATACACACCCAAATAAAGTTACATGAAAAAAGAAAAAAGAAGAAATGAAGAAGAACTAATTACAAAGTAAAAAGTTATAAGAGGAAAAAGAAAATTAAAGAAAAAAAGAAGGAGAGAAGAAAACAAAACATGCGTAGAGACTAGGGGAAGGAGCCAATTATCGACATATCAGTCGATGCTCAATTATAGGAGCTTTGATTCTATTCTTTGTAATATTCCTTTTTTGAGTATCGAATATATCTGCATATGTCCCATGCAAATTCTTATTTTACCATGAATAATTCTATAAATTTGAATAATTCTGTGTGAACTCATATTTTAGACATAATCATGAAAAATCCTTTTGGTTTTTTTTTGTCTTTCCTCTAGAAAAAGCAATAAATTATTGCCTCTATTTCGTTTTACGCCCTTGGCTCCGACATAACACACGCGTACAAACAGTACTATTATCGTTACTATTCTTAATTATCATTATCATTATTATCATTATGATGTATAGCTTAAAATGGAGTGATTAAAATTTCAAGGACAAGGGCATGCTTTAAGGAAGGAGGATCGATATTGACACAACGATTGTATGTACTTACGTAATACTATGATTCGACAAATGAATGAAAAATATGTTGACTGCTTAAAATCTTCCTTATACTTTTGATATATACATACACACATGTTTTATATTTATAAATATATATATATATATATATATATATATAGATATAAATAAATATATAATATATATACATACATAAAACACGTGCGTTTGTGTTACATACCGATTTAATTTTTAATTGCAATATCTTTCAAAATTCATTTATAATAATCTCAATTTGATATTGAATAACTTTTAAATTGACGAAAAGATTTTAAGCTTTTTCATTAATTTTTCTTTTTTTTTTTAAATGGGCTGGTCAATGAAACTCAACCTTGATTCTATTAGAAACATCATCAACCTATTTTTACAGGCCTCCTAACTCTCACAAACATAAATTTTAATTAATTTTTATTAGCGATAACACACGTTATATGGAAAATTTAATCGATTGTAACTTAATTAACAATTTATCCAAATACATTGTGTGTGTTTTGTATTGAAAACTATAATTTCATTGAAACCTAAATTAATTTATTTCAAGTTTACAGTAAGACGTAACAGTAAATTTAAACATATA